TAGTTATTTTAAATATATTTTTGGCTATATTCGGATTTGATTTAAATATCTGAAAATTTTAATAATATGCATTTAAATCAAATTGGAACTATTTTAAATCTTATATTTTCCACACTAATATAAATATGCAATATAAAATCATGTAATTTAATATGCATTGTATTTAATATTATGATTTCATATGTTTTTTTAATATTTAATATACAATTTTAAATTCAATAGTCAGATATTTAGATATATATCATATATATTATATATACTATTCCATTTTGTACAAGTTAGGTACTTCACGTAAACTGTTTTTAAATTTTTGTAAGAACTTAAACTTTAATATTTGTAAGAAAATCTTTTTTTAAATACGAAGAAATAGGTGTTGAACTTTTTATATTGTTTTGATATAACTGTGCAGATTGTTCAAGAATTGAACAGCTGAGCTTACTTTTCGGATTGAGAAAGCTATTTAATATAGTTATTAACATTTTAAAATATATCTGTGGCAGGGATCCTTTGATGATACCATTCACTTTGAGGACGTAATGCCCCGCAATCGTCGAACCCTTGAATACACCGAAGAGGTATATCCAAGTAATACAACATGTTTTTCTAAATATAAAATAAAACACCTCCCATAGAAATCTACAAAATCGCACAAGTCGATGATCACCACCAAGGTTGGTGATACTTACACCACCAAGATCAAGGCCACCACCACCAGTGAGACGCTGGTGACCACCCACACGAGGCACAGCCTGCAGGAGGGCGTCCGCATGATTGTCACCCCGCTGGTTGGTGCGGAGACCACGGAGACGGCCATTGTCAGTCCTCCGGTGGACGTGCATCGGGCGGTGACGGTGCGCAACAAGTCGCTGGAGAACGCAGCCGCTTCCACTTCGAAGATGTTTGCCGCCATTGCCACGAATCACCTAAAAGCACTGGGTGCCCTGCAAGACTTTCCCGCAGCGGTGGAACGGAAAGGTGGCTCCAGCAGCGGAAGCGGCAGTCGATCGGCCAACGGCAATGGCGGAAGTGGAGCAAGTGGAGGAAGTGCTCCAGCCGCTGTCCAGGCATCATCCTCTGCGGCTGCCGGCAAACCCATTGGACGCCACAAGACGATTGTGGAGTGCAGTGCCGGCAACTCGAGCTCTTCGGCGGACGACACGCGTCAGAAGAAGGCCCAAAGCAAGGCACTCAAGCGCACGGATAAAAACTACGGCTCGCCGGAGTCGCCGCTCTCCAAGATGAGCGTGATGCCGAATCCCCGGGACGAGGTGGACGAGGGCATGCAGAGCCTGCCGCCGCCCAAGAGCATTGCCGCCCTTGAGATACCCACTCCGGAGCGGCTGCTGCCCATTGGCACCCAGGACACGGTGGCCACGCTGGTGGAGCGCGTGCGGGATGGCCTCAATCTGCCGGACATCAGTCACCTCAAGCAGGACAGCCTGGATGTGTCCGAGAGCACCAAGGACGATGTGACGCCCAGCAGCAGGACCAACTCACCCCGTCGCCTCATCAAGCAGGTGGCCCTGGAGTCTCCCCCGAATCCCAATGCCCAGCTTCCAGCGCAGCCCGCGGCAGATCTGCACACCTCCATCCTCAAGAATGTCCAGCAGGAGCTGAAGCAAAGTGCCGGAGCCTCCGGCGCCGGTGGCTTAACCTCCAGCAACAGTATCAAGCGTCCGCGCCAGAAACTGGCCCCATTCAATGTGGATAGCAATGCCATTCCGGACATCCGATCTCGGTTCGCGGGATCCTGGCCACCGCCTCCCTTCCAGCCCGTGGATCCCGAGCCTGACGATGACGATGAGGTTGGGGCTGAGGCCTCCAATGGACATGGCACTCAGTCCACCACTCATGCTCCTCGTGGGGTAAGTTCAAAAAGTTGGTGAATCCATTAGGCATTTTAATACCCTTGAAGAGGGTATTATGATGTCAGTCAACAGTTTGCAACGTAGTAGTGGAGACATTTCTTCCCCTAAAGGTTTATATATTCTTGATCAGCAGTACATATATTCATGATCTTGCCATGTCCGTCTGAATAATTCAACTATTCTTTTAGTTTTAAAGCTATCAGAATAAAAGCTTATAAAATTCCTCTGTGTATATAAGTCGGAACAAATCAGACGACTATATCATTGAAGCAAAAATAGTTTTTAATTTATAAGAATAAACTTCAGGATATATAGTGGCCATAAACTTAGTCTATGAGTAAAATTTGTTACTAGCTGTGTCCTTTTTTTAGAATTTTTCGTTATTAATTAAAAAAAATGTTTTCTTTAAATAAATAATCAATCATTTTATCGTAGGAAAATTATTTTAAAGGCTGTTGAAGTTCTGAATGGTGTTTGGTTGAAATAAGCTGTAAGACAATGGCTTACCATTTCAGGGGTACGAGTTTAATTTGATTAAAATTCAACCGAAAACCTATGTATGTAGCTTCATTATTATTATATATATTTATAAAAATCAACATAAAATAGTTTTAGGTTCAAGGGTGTATTAACTTCGGTTTACCAAAACTAGCTTCCTTTCTTGTTTGTTTTAAAGTTAGTAATGTTGTCTATAACTTTATACAAATTTAAAATAACAACTAAATACCTATACTTTTGAAATAATATTTGTATTATTATTTTGTATTGTTTATTTTTATTCTTACCTGGTCAACATTTTAATATTTTAAATCTTTGAAACTGCAGAGTTCCCGTCGAGTGGGCGATTACACCATTGTGGAGCGCTGTTCCGACTGCGGTGCCCACATTGAGGAATACACGGACGAGGAAATTGGCATCTTCATAGTGATCCTAGGCACCTTTATACACCGTGAACCCGCAATGGCAGCACCGTTTCTGCCCGAGATTCTCACCATGACATCGCGGTAAGTGGGTTTATTGAAAATGACCAGACTCCAGGCTAAGATTCACTCCATTTCAGCATCTGTTTGAGCAGCACCCATGCCTGGCAGGGCGAGAATGGTCCTCCATTGGCCTGTAGTGCCCAGGCGGTGGCCCTTCAGTTCTTCCGCTGTGTGCTCCACCAGTTGGCCCCCAATGGAATCTTCCTGCAAGTGTTCCAGACCCAAATGAAAAGTTAGTAATGATTGTTTTCCCTAAATAAAAAATGTATTTTAATCAAACCCGCTTTGTCCACGCAGTGAAAATCCGGCACAACCACTTCCGGAGCATCGCTAAGGCTTTGCAAGATTTCCAGGATCTGAATGCCACCAGTCCCATTTACATGGTCTGCGATTCGCTGACCTCCAAGAAGGCCCTGCCCGTCGATCAGCTGCCCGTGATCTTCCGCAACATGGCCGAGTATTTGAATCTCCAGTGCGTTCCCGCGGAGGCGGGAGTGGGCCTGGCCGTCTGGTCACAGGCAATGCAGGCCATGGAGTCGCTCCTCCGCCAGGTGATCGTCATCATGCCCAGTCTGACCAATGCCGAGTACATGCTGGACATCATAGCGGCCACTTTGCGGCTCAATTGTGTGCCAAAGACACTGCTCGATCCGTACTCCAAGATCATGGCCTATTGTGTGCAGCACACGAATCTGGAGTACCAAACGCTCTACGAGCTGTGCACCCTGAACATTCGCTCCTTCAACAAGGATCGGGACAAGAACCTACTTTGCCGCCAGATGATCTTCGAGTTCGTCCAGGCCCTCAAGTTTAAGACGAACATTCCCGACCACAATCTACTCACGATTATCGGCTTTGTGCTGCTCGATGCTGGGGGAACTTTGCCTCCGGGAGCTGCTCCTGGCCTGCCCGATGCGGCGCCCATGATGACCACCAATTCGGCGGATTGCTTGAGGCAGTACATCAACGATGTTATTGACTTTCTGGCCGATTTTCACACACTCAGCAAGATCAAGGTAGGAAAGCAGTCAATGCATCTGTCTTTTAATAACAAAATTGTCTTGTTAGAACTTCAAGAACGGCCAGACGAGCAATGGTCTTGGTGAGGATACCTTGGGCGGAGTCCTCAAAGGAGCAGTGGCCCAATACCTGGCCCTGGAGATGTCTCGTGGCAATTCAAGGGACAACAAGGCCGTTTCCCGCTACCTGCCCTGGCTAAACAATGCTCCATCTTCGCTTCAGCAAGGGTAAGTACAAGATTGGAATTAATACATATCAAAATACAACAAAAAAATAAAATACCCACTCAGACCCAAGGAGTTCACCGAGTGCGTGGGCCACATGCGCCTGCTGTCTTGGCTGCTGCTCGGCTCCCTCACTCACATGGCTCTGATGCAGCGCCGCCAGGAGACGCACAGCATTCCGACACCTCTGCCGCCGCAGCCTGGTCAGGGATCCGGTCCAACGGCCAGTGTGCACTACCAGCACCAGGGAGTGACCTACTCGCAGCCGGTGCCGCAGGAGGCCTCCTGCCACATTGCCGATCACATTCAGGTGATATTTGCCGGGTTCGCGGAGCAGTCCAAGACGTCGGTGCTGCACATGTCGTCGCTGTTCCACGCCTTCACCTTGTGCCAGCTGTGGACGGTCTATCTGGAGCAGATGGCCCACAATACCAACAGCAATGCGGAGGGCAGCACGTTGGGAGTGCTGTTCGAGTTCTGGGCAAAGGTTACGCCCTGCATCCTGCAACTGGTGTCGCACGCCAAGCCGACAGTCAACAAGGATCAGCCGCAGACGCCCTTGGACTTTCAGACGCAGAGCGCCAACTCCAAGCTGTCCGAGATGGTCAACCTGCACTTCCTCAGTCTGTTGGAGGCGCTGAAGGACACCAATTCCACGGTGCTGGGCAAGCTGCTGCCCATGTGGAGCCCCGTTCTCTCCTCGCAGACGCAACTCTCGGACACGCTGCACGTCCGCTTGCAGAATGTGAGGGACTATGCACCCGATTACGAGGAGCAGCAGGCCTTCAAGTCGGAGGCTCTGCTTAAGTGGCTGCAGCGCCTGCAGTTCAAGATGGGCCAAATCGAGTTACAGGCCTCCACGGCCACGCAGTTCTATTCTATCTAAATGTCACACACACAATGAGTTATATATGCAGTCTTATTTAGTACTTGTTGCCTACGCGAATAAATAGTTCACAATGTTTGTTTGTTGCAAAAGGAATGGGCAGGAATGGGATTCGATCACATACTCTGCCCGCAGGTTACTCGAAAACTGTGTAGTGAATGCCACTGTTGGCTACTCCTCTGTCTTGAATTGAGGGATCGAGCACTTCATTCGCCTCGCAGGCTTTTTGTCTGCCCTCGATGAGAACATTAGCCTGGGGATCTCGATAGTTGCGGAAGGATTCCTTGGTTTTCAGGATGGATTCCTCGGGCAGGCTCAGACCTGCTGCCAATCTGGACTCTTTGTGTCTGGCCAGCCGCTGTTCAGCCTGCTGAATGCGCACTTCCTGTGAACAGATTGGATTAAACAGCAAATTCTTTAGGGAACAAACATGGGTAGTATACCTTAAGCCTTTGCATGTAGTCCATTTGCAGAGTGGCCGACTCAGCCAGCGGCACCAGCTGCACCTCCTTGTGCTGAATGAGGGGCGGAGTGGCCGCCGTTACTTCCCAGTGCTTGCCCTTCTTGCGCACTCGCTCCTTGTCGGGATCGTGGACATTGGACTTTGTGGTGCGGAATGGCATAAACTTCTCCCTGGAAGGAGCATTCACGCTCGTTTCCGTCTTGTCGATGAGGTAGAGGGAATGCTGATCGGGCGCTTGCTCTTTACTCAACTTGGCGGCCACTTGACTGGCGTCTATCGCTATGATCTCGGCGGGCAAGGAACTGGTGTCACTGTGTCCTGCCAAAGCGGAATCCGGTGAGTCAGCTGGCTTTTTGAACTCCTCAATATCGGCCAGATCTTCGGCCGTTATGAGACTCGCTGGAGGTGGAATCACCTTGACCTTCTTTTCGTGCATGGTTCCCTGGGCTATGATCCTCAGGGGATCCATCTCCACCTCGTCATCGCTATCCAGAATGTCGTCCACATGGGCGCCTTCGTCCGTGTTTCTGCCATTCCACTCCAGATTGTTGAGAGCGATCTTTCCCTTGGCCGCAATGTTGAGACCACTCAGCATTCGAGTCGCCTCCTCCACTTCATCGCGGCGTTTGATCTCTTCCAGCAGCTTGTCGTAGGATTCCTGAAGACGCTTACCTTTATCCGGCAATCGCTGGAGTCTCTTTCTGAAGCGGGAAATCGAGAAATCAGTTGCAACTCCACAGGTTGACCATAGAACTTACTTAAAGGAAAGGAAATTCGACTGTCTGTCCTTGATCTCGAGCAACTGGACGTAGGACAGGGTCTTTAAGTCCTTGCTGTGCTGTTCCTTCAGCTGACTGGTGCCCGGAATGCGACTAAGTGGAGCAGCAATCACATTTTCGTTCATTTTTGCCGATTCATTTATTTTGGTTTCTCGCATTAGTGTGACCGTGTTTATGGTTGTGGAAAAATACTTAGCTTTGGTAATGGCACGAAGGCTACATAACTCGTCTATCGATATCGATAAGTAAGCGCGTTAATTTACAAAATGTTTGCTTTGTTATTGCTCTTTTTGTTATTGTTTTCTTTTTGTGTTATTAATTCTTTTAAGGAGCATTAAATATGTCTTTTTTCCAAATGCTAAGATTAGGTTTTTCAAAATTAAATAAAACTCGAATTCACCTGTTAAAAATAGTGTTTTTTGGGTAGAAAAAAGCCCAAAGACCGAGCCACCTTACCCAATTACCTCACAAAATCCTTCATTGTTTCGAATGTTAGAATTTAAAGCACACATTTAATTGCACATGCCGAACGAAGCGATCGTGTACTCAGGACCCTACGAAGTGGGACGCCTTCGTCGCCGGCGGGATCGACGGGTGGAGGAGTATCTCTTCAGGCGCTCCATTCGCACCAGCAACCCGCCGCTCGAGGTCACCATGTGCCGCATCACCAAACTGGTGGCCTACTTCATCGTCTTCTGCGTGCTGCTGGCGGCCTTCACGGGCGGAATGGCCGTGCTGGTGATGGCATTCAGCATACCACCGGATAGGCCAGGATACAGCAAGTTTCCCGGACTGTGCATCCAGCCCGGCAAATATGTGGGCGACCAGAAGCAAATAGTGTGGAGCATACACAACGAGAAGGAGCTGGGTGCCATCCGGCGGCAGCTGTCGCGCATCGTGGAAGGGTACGGCCTTGAGGGCCCCAAACGCATGTTGGCCTGCAATTTGGACGACAGCTGGGGCTACGCCACCGGTAAGCCCTGCATCCTGATGAAGCTCACCCAGGCGCTGGGCTTTGAGGCCATCACCTACAATGATGCCATGACCCTGCCCGACGAAGCTCCCGACGAACTGTACGACTACGTGGTGGAGCTGGGCATGGAGGAGCGAATAAAACGGATTTGGGTGGCCTGCCAGGTGAAGAAAGAAGATGGACTGGATGTCAAGATTGACTATGTGCCGGATCGCTATTTCGATGCGGAAGCCTTGTTCACCAAGGGCAATGTCTTCCTAAACGACTCTTCGGATAACGAGGGCGGCACTTACTTTGAGGATCCCAGCCTGAGGCGCCTCATCGGCGTCCAGTTCAGCAACATACCGCCCAACAGGGACATCGTAGTTCGCTGCCAGGTGTGGGCCAAAAACATACCACTCTATATGGGCACGGCCAGACTAATGTTGCGACTGACGGCGCCCTTGCAGACTACCACACCATTGTTACTGGACGAGTGGTACGACTGAGGCCTGTTGCCCCTATAAATGTGTCACTTGATCTTAAGAATATCCTGTTGCATTTATTTAACTGAGTAGATTGTTTAAGGACAATTAAATGCCACCTTTGCATGCAAAAATACAAATAAATCAATGATCAATGAAATCTATACTATATGGTCGGGACCGATATGGTCCGTTTTGAAAAATTACAAAATTCACGATTAACTTTTATTTTTTTTAAAGTTTTATAATCGTTTCCAATATACAGAGTAAAGATTCTAATCTAATCCTAATAAGAAACATCTAATTTCCGAATTATATGAGCACCCATTAAAAACCATTGAAGCTATGATGAATTTCACTTCAAATATTCGATCGTTTCTATGGAAGCTATATTATATTGTTTTCCTATTTTAATCAAAATTAAAAGAATTCTGAACTGTTAAACCACTTCTATATCCAAAAGAACTTTACAAAAATTGTAAATTAGAAAAGTCAAAATTTAATTAAAATTTTTATGTTACTATTCCGATTGTTTTTTTTTTTGGAGCTTTATGATATAGTCTTTTGATTTTGATCAATGTGCAAGTGAATTAAGTTTCAAACAGCACACAATCCAATAAGCCCTTTGGTTTTGTTTCTATCATCAAAAGTCAATAGATTTTTACCGAATAAAGATATACAGTAGCCTACGAGTAACGATTATAAAAATCAGATTTATAGGGGGCAAAACTAACTTTGCCTTACTTACATTTTGGAATATTTTTCCATCGAGCTGTTGTTGAAGCAAAACTGAACTAAAACTACCGCCAGGATGCCCGAAGATGTGATGGTGGCCTCGGGGGAGTACAAGCTGGTCAAGCAGTCTCGCAGGGATGAGGAGAAACGCCGCAAGAAGGATCTGCCGTGGTCGAAGCGGATATTCGACATAGACGAGCACAAGCTGTTTGGACGCACCGCCTGGGCCTGGACGAGGATTACGCTCTTCTATCTGCTCCTGTACTTCTTGATTCTCGTCATAGTGTGCTTTTGGCTTTGCATATTCCTACTGGTGATCATCGAGCCGAACCGGCCACGCTGGCTGAAGGGTCCGCCAGGACTGTCGATGGCCCCAACCAACGCATCCGTGCTCGCCTGGTACACGCACTTAGTGTCCAATGTCTATCCGATCGCCGACAAAATCGACGAGTTTCTGAACAAGCTGAACGACAATGCCATCGATTTCTTCAGCGAGGCAAACAAGGACACGGTGTGGGGCTACGGTTCGAGGAAGCCCACCGTCTTCATCAAGCTGAACAAGGTGATTGGCTTCCAGCCGGAGACCTACGACACTCCGGACGACCTGCCCAAGGAGGTGCCCGCCGGTCTCGACGACACCGTGCAAAAGTACGCCGGCAGCCCGAAAATCTGGATGACTTGCGACACCTCCAAGGCCTTCGACACCGAGCTCGTCTTCTTTCCGGGACCCTTCTACGAGGCCTCCGAGAAGATGACTGGTGTGCAGCGCGTGGTGGCCATCCAGCTGAACAATATGCCACCAAATAAGAATATATTCGTCTGCTGCAAGGTCTGGGCCCGCAACATTCCCATCGACCATAAGTTCCAGGGCAAGGGCCAAATCAAGTTCGGTATGCAAATGCGCGTGGGGACCGCCAAGAAGGAGGCTATCGATCAGCTCCATTCGACCACCACCGACGATCCCAAAGTAGTTCCTGCTCTAGCAAACAATCCTCCGCCACTAGATAACCCCGAAGATCGTCTCGGTGGATTGGATATGCCTCTATCCCCCGAGCTAGAGCCGTCCCCGAATGAAAAGCTGCAGGAAAAACCTGAAGCTGAGCCCCTTACGGAGCCACCCAGCTAAATTGAATTTTAATATATCCATAACCAAACTGTTACTTGAAAATATTTTTGACTTCTTGATTTAAAAATTAATAGGTAAACGATAATTTCTATACCTAAACGAATGAACTTTTAAATTGTCAAAATTATATACAAATGTTATACATACACTAGAAAACTTCAACTTGTTATTTTTAATTCAATTCTTTCGATTTACATAATAAAATTTGAATAAAAAACTTTAAAAACTTAGCTCTCAATTTTTTTCCAACTTAACACATAACTCATTAAAAATTTGGTATATTTTTTTGTAAGTCCGTATATTTATGAATTTAAATTATCCACCCAGAAAAAAACATAGATAGAAATAAATAATTTGTGTGTACAACATTTTAATATCAAATATTAATATGTAGTGTAGCTTTTATAATGGCCTTTAGGATAAAAAAAGTTTCGAATTAAGTGATATAAAATCAAGTTACATTAAATTCGCAGAAAAAAAATTTTTTGTATCAATCTTCATTAAATTAAAAATTTTCCAACAACTTGGAGTCCCCTTATAAATTTTGGTAACCGACCAGCCCTGGACTAAATGCCGCTGATATCGATGATTTCAAACTGTCGGCGCCCACCTCTAAGTGTGACCGCAGCACTCACGATAGGGCCTCGGCAAAATCGATACTCGGCCTATCGGAATCGAAGTATTTTGCATGAACATCGAACTTCAGCTCCGATTCGACACGCAGTAACTAAACAACAAAAAATTCATTACTAATATAATACTGCCACCGATTTGCAAGCGCGAAGCGATCCCGAGAATAGGCAAATCCCAGTCCCCAGTTGTACGTCATCATTTGAGTAATAAATCAGCGACAAATCGCAAAATTGCCATTGAAAGTCCGCCCGCAAGTGTGTGTGTGTGTATGTGCGTATGACTCGTGCTTTTAGCCGACAATTGGAGAAAAAAAAGGCATTAGTAATTAAAGCGCCGCTAATTTAGTCAAACAGAATCATAAACATAAACAAAAAGTCCAAGTGCATCCATTTGGCAGCGAAACAAACACCTCAGTGGTTCTAACAGATATATAAATTAAATATAGAAAGTGCGTGTGAAGGTTAAGCGGCTCGAGTGCAAGTGCATTTACATTTGGAAATAATAAAATCACTAGTCAGCTAAAATTCGCCAGCAAAATCGCATTTAAATCTAATTCTGTATTCTTCACTCTCTCGCAGCGAATCAAGCAGGAAAATACCGGATAATAATTGGCAAAGATGCAGATCAAGGAATTGTGAGTATGCTAAAATAACATTTTTTCTTTATATTTAAATTTGTTATTTAAAATGCCTAAAAAGCTGTGCAAGCCGCAAATGATTTGTGACAAATCGATTTTATGCTCTCTCCATGACATTCGCTCTCTCCTACTCTCTCTCTCTCTCGCTCTGTCCATGTCGCGTGTCGTTTCTCTCTCTATCTCTCTTATTAGAATTGTTTTTGCTGTATTTTAGTTTGCGGGCATTTTCCGCAGCAACAACAAAATATTGTGTTTCTTATCAGCCCCCCCGCCGCCCCCTTCTCCACGCCGCCCAATCTCCCCCCTTACTTTCTATCTCAGGTATTTTGCAGCTGTGGGGATGACGTAATGAGTTCTAAGTTGGATTTGGAGCTAAGTAATCCATCTTATTTCTTATACGAATTCCCACTGCTAATTAGTTTTAGCAACTCCTTTGAGTCATCATACAAAAATTAAAAAAAAAAAAAATAAGGTAATGGTATTCAGACGCTCAGCGTCGCCACGTTGTCGATTATGCCTTTTCGTGAGTCACTCTCTTTTGCGCCTCTCTTTTTTCCCATAACTCTCTTTTTCGGCATTTGGCACTGCGATTTAATCAAACAAGTTGTTAAGTACGATAATGTCGTTGCGTAAACCCCATTAAGTTGAGTCACTCGCTTTAAGCTGGAATCCTTTTCGGTGGAAAAACTACAACACGACATTCTTCTCATTTGCAAATTTCTCACGTTTTTCTCCTTCTCATTTTGGCTCCCCCTTTTGGCAGTGATACTTTTAATTTATTAACGGAAATTGCCAAAAGGCTGAATTCAAATGGCCCGGATTATAATTGATTTTGACTTTGGCAGCTGACAAAAAAAAACAGGGAAAATCAAATCAGATTGCACATAGGATTTTAAAAGAAAACTCAATCAGACGATGTAAATCTAAGCTTTCTTATCATTTTGTTTTTTTTTTTTTTAAATTCGAATTGCCGCTCTTACACAATCTTTCACAACAATCTGATAATTGAACTTCTATTGACCATAAAGAGAGCCTATAACTGATAATTGATTGATTACTTTGTAAAGCTTTTTATTCTTGTTCAATGCGAAACTATTTGTTGGCTTAAAGTTTTAAAGTATTGGTTAAATGATCCATAAACTTATTTATTATTATTAAACTTCGTAGAATTGTAGCAATAGAAAGCTATTTCTTTACCAACTTACTCTAAAAAGAAAAACAATACTCTGTTTGCTTTAATTACACACAATTGTATACGTAAATTTATGCCTTTTTTAAACGGAAAATAAACCAATATGCGCTGTGTAAGTTCAATTAAGAGTCCATTTGTTATAACAATAAAGAAGTTTTATTTGTTATAAGTTTATTGTAATGAACCATACTCAGTTTAATCAAAAAATGTATTTTATCTTTTAACATTAATGGACTTAATTTGAATTGTGTCATACATAAATTAAAAAAAAAAATTTTTAAGAGAACGAGGAGTATTTACCGCACAAAAATGGTTTTTGTAAGAGTTTTAAACGAAATGCCATGTATTAAAACACCCATAAGTTGACAGAAGCAATCTTCATGTGGTGCATTAATCTTTAATTGTTTTCGATGTCGTAATCCCCACACGAAGCTTTTAGCATTTGCTATGCAAAATGTTTTTTCCCTCCAGATTTTCACATTTTTTCGTCTGCCGGCTGTTGGAGTGTAAACCATTTGGCAATGAAAATTTCAACACCATCATTAAATGAAAAATAAAGGTGGAAATACAGCCAACGCGTGCCGAGGCAGGCTGCTCCAGGTTGATAAACAATTTTAAATGGCAAAGGGGCAAAGTGGAAAAATGGATCATAGGCAGTTAAAAAAAAGCAAAAACAAATTGTGATAGACCACATTTTGCATGTTTCATCTGATATTTGTTTTTTTTTTTTGTGCACAATAATGGTTTAAGTGCTTCACTTTATTTTTGACATTAGTAGGTCTTTATTTAGAACAACAATTGATTGTGGACAAACGTGCAGTTTATTCTGTCAGATTATAATCAAGCCATTCATTTTGATAATATAAGTGCTATTAATCAGTAAAGAATAATTAATTAATCAAATTAAAAAAATCTTAAATTATTTTATAAAATTTAATTTCATTTCCAATTTAATACCAAATGTTATTGATTCGTATGTATTTTCTTTTCGTTTATATGTTTTTTAAAACGTATATTTAACTACCCGAGTAGTCTACGCTTTCGAATTGTACAATAGTTATTTTGGACCTGTTTGACTGTATTAACTGTAAACTTTTAAACAAACTCAGGTATTTACTTATATTAACTTTAATTTCTCATTATTACAGTTACAAAGTGTAAGGCCTTTAAACTTTCATACTTCTCAATTATAATCTATGAAAGCAAGAGCTTGTTTTCAATTTCAGTCCTCGATGGTACTCGACATAAACTAACCCTAGCGTGACTTTTACTGCCCCAACTGATTGGCTTACTTGGTATACCACATATGTATCCATCAGATACAGCCCTCCTCACACCCCTCTCGTCCAATCCACAATCAATTTGAAAATGGCACGAGCTCCAATTTAGTTCCGCCATTTGTGTTTTTATATGTACTGCGATAAGATAACACGCAGCGTTTGGTTTTTCGTTTGTGTCGTAGTTTTACTTCGCAATGTGGTACTGTTTGTACTCATTACATGCCTCGAGTGTGTGAAGTTTCAGTTGTTTCGAAAATGGTTGGCAATTGAGTGTGACTGCTGTTAACCGCCAGCTTAAATGAGTACCGATAGAAGAGGAGTATGCCACCAGCAATCTAAATCTATTTGTAATTTATCAAAAAATGGATCACAAATGGTACAAAACATTTAAATTTCATGACTGACTGCTCTTAGCTAATTTAGGGCTCCGCTTTGAAAATAAATTGCAATTGCAGATATCATGGTTGAATGGCAAGTTTAAAACGTTTAGTTGCTAGGCCATCGTATGATATTGGCAAATGGCTAGTTCCTGAAGAATATATATAATTGAAAAAAACTTATGCATAAAAATTAAATAAATGGTAAGCTGTCTATAAAATATAAATAAAATATAAATGAAATGAAATAAAGATACTTAAAATGTAAAATAGTTTTTGATAATAAGTTCGTGGTAGAAGTACAGATTTGTTTGGTAGTCATAGGTTCAAAAGCAACATTAATTAAAGTGCTCTGAATAACGCGTTGCTTTGTTATTGATTGACTCGACGGACAATCGCTCTGTGACATCTTTACTGCGGGTAAATTAATTATTACTTGGCTTTGGACTTCAATTGCGGCATTGACCAGTGGGTGGCCCTCAATAATGGCCACCATAAGAGCCTTGGCCGAGTGCTTTCCCCTTGGCCCACACACACGCCCACTTCCAGATGCGGACACACAGCGCACAACACAATCACTTTCCATTTTCAATTATGCCAAGAAGAGCAAACAAATTTCGCCTGTTCATGGCCACAAAAGAGGATTGAATTGAGGGGTCTCCCGAGTGTTTCTTTCGGCAACTTTTGCCTCATCAAGAGTTCTTCAATACACGCCTGATGTTGTTTGTTGCTTTGTTTTTCGTGACTCTCCTACCAACCTCCGCCCCCTCTTAACCCCTCCATCCATGTGAGGCGATTTCTTTTATGTTTCTGTTTTCGTTTTTGCATAATTTCTTTATTGCTCCCATTGTGCTGTGATTCATAGAAAACCTTCACAAACACAAGACCATATCTTTTGATCTTTCGCATTGGGATATTCGACGCAGTTAGATGTTGATTCGACTATTTAGTTTCACCCTCACTTCTTGGAAATGTATCTATTTACTTGCATAAACTAAACTTATTGAGAACGAACTTTTGTCACACAAACACGTTCT